CTATAGCGAAAATCTCTCTAAAAAAAAAAAAAAAAAAAAAAGAAAATCTCTAGTACAGATATTAGTTTTTATAAATCTTAATAAAGAATGATATTTATATAATTTTATAGAGATGTAAAATTAATTAAAGGAATCCTAATATATTTACCTATCCTGAAGGGGTGAAGTTAGTGTTCACTTGATGAGGGTGGGGATACAGCCCTTTCAACTGGTGGTGAAGTGACTAATGAGTTAATGGAAAACTTTGTGGCACACCTAGGCATTCTTGTTGTGCTTGTGGCGCCACCGTCATGTATTTTGTCAGAACATTAGCTACAGTGAGGCAGGACTGTCTTGGGTCAGTTTCTGCTTAAGAGGTAATTTTTAAGTTTATATAAATGTGTTTTGAAAGGCCTTCCAACAATCAAGAAAAACTTTAGCACACCCCCTATTGTGCCCAATGAAGCACTGTAATCAACAGTAAATGGTCAGGGTAAAGGGGAGCGGTCGGGGGATTTTGGAGAAATCTTGCTACAAATATGTATGGGAAAACTATGTAATTCTTTTATAGTAATATATCGGGGAGTCAGAAGGGGGTCACTTCCCAGCAAGGCTATCACAGTCCCGGAGCGAATAGCAGGCGGCCTTGCCAACATGCTAAGTGACCCAAGCTTGTTCCAAGGTTGGGGGGCGTACAGTCGTGGCCTTGCCAACTCACTGAACCGACCGGAAGCGATGCTCAAAGGTCAAGGGGCTCAGACGGGTCCTGGAGCCCCGCCGGGTCGGACATATGTGTGTGTGTGTGTGTATATATATATATCCACAACAATTAAACAAATTTACTTCAGCTGTGTATCCTTTCCTTTCACGATCTTTTTTAAAAATACTGTTCTTGGAGTCAGCAGGTGGTGTGGTGGTTAAGGACATTGGACTCCCACATGGCAAACCGTGGTTTGAGTCTCGGACCTGGTGGACCTGGCGGCTTGCTTTCTCACTTGCTCTCACTCTATCCTAATCTGGTCAAATTAAAATAAATAAATGAATAAATAAAGTTAAATAATTTTAAAAATATTATTATTCTTCGATTAGACTAGAGAGAGTGAGAGCAAGCTGCCAAGAACCGCGGTTGGCCATATGGGAGTCCATCACCTTAGCCACCATACCACCTGCTGGCCGGTCTCACTATCTTAAGTCCCTTATTCCAAGCCTTCCTTGAGCTCACTGCCACCAGAACACGTGGTTATTGGGAACCATTCATTTCCCCTCTACTCCCACCCTGTTGATCTAATATAGTTGGTCATAACTCAGCTTGACTCTCAGATTCAAACTCAACTTGCACTGACCGTGGGGTATTCAGTAATCACTTTTTTTTTTTTTTTTGAGATGTTTTTCTATAGGGTGCATGTGCTGAAAATAGAGAGACAGAGAGACAGAAAGCAAGAAATCACCTCCCGGGGGGATAGCCCCACCAGAATCCCTTTTCCGTTCTCCGTATTTTGGGCACACACACATACGTGCCCAGTGTCTCCGTTCTCCGTCTTTTGGGCACACACGCATACGTGCCCAGTGTGAATTTCAAGCCACTGGAACTTGAACCCCAGTGGACTACATGGGAATCCAGCGACATAACCATTACACCACCTGCTGGTCTCGATTTTTTTTTTGGGGAGGTGTTAGATTTTGCTGTATGTTTTTTGCCAGAGAGACAGAAAGTGAGAACTCATCCTGTGAAGAGATGGCCATGCCACAATCCCTTCTCCCAGGATCCTAGGTATGCATGCACATGTGCTGGGCATGGCATGAGTTTCAAGCCACCAGGTCTAGGACTCAAATTGTGGCAAGTCATGAGAGTCCAGTGACGGAACCACTACACCATCTATTGCACACCATCCCCCTTTCTTAACACCCTGGTTTTGTCCAGAGTATCAACAGGCCTAGCTAAAACCATTCAATTTCCTGGCCAGCAACAGATTTCTAACTAGACACAAATCTCCAGTGTAATAAAAAGGTCAGGTCTCTTATCAAAACAGGAAATAAGGAAAAAACCTCCCTGCCCTGCCACACATGCCCCCTGTTCTACCTGAAGTCAGGGCCTGGAGGTAGCAGACAAATCTGTGCCACAGAGAGCTTACACGCAGCAAGGGTAGGTGAGAGGAGGGCGGAGCCACCTGGGGAACAAGAGCTGCACCAGCCCCAAACTGCCCCCTTGACCTCCGGGTAGATGAAAAAACAAGTGCTGCCTAAGCTGCTCGTTTTTGGTTCCCTGTGGTCTGGGTTATATCCCTATTACAGAGTTGCCCAGTTTTTATGTTGCATGCTGATTTTTCAAATTTTATTTTATTTAACTTTATTTTTATTTTATTCGGACCAGAGAGGGATAGAGTGAGAGAGAGGGAAAGCAAGAAAGCAAGCCTCCAGGTCTGGGACTCAAACCATAGTCGGCCATGTGGGAGTCCAGCTCCCCTAATCACCATGCCACCTGCTGGCCCCAGTTGCATGCTGTTTTAACAGAGGGCGTGAGTGTGTTCATGCTCCTATCTCAAGAAACAATGTAGGATTCAAGTAGGATTTCATTGCCATTTAAAATTTTTGAACTGCTCCATCCAGACAGGTTTTTGTTTTTCCTCTGGGGCCAGCAGATGGCATAGCGGTTATGTTGCTGGACTCCCACAAGGCCAACCACGGTTTGAGTCCTAGACCTGGTAACTTGAAACTCAGGCCAGGCGCACATATGTGTCCGAGACCCCAGGAGGAGATGAGATTGTGGCGTGGCCACCCCCCATTGGGGTTTCACTTCTCACTTTCCCACTCACTGTTTCTCCAGTGAGCACATGTGCCCTAAGGCAAAAACCTATTTCAAAATCTCCCCACCCTTTGAACTGCATTGTCCTTCGAGCTGACCATGTTAGCAATCTCAGCTCCAGCCATCCTCCACTTTCCGCCTAAACTACTCCTGCCAAGTCCCACGAGGTCCACCTCAGTTGACTCCCCATTTCTACTTCCCTTCCTCCTGTCCATCACAGGGTAAATTGTCTCTGAGCTCTCCACACGACTGACCGTCTTGGAATACTAAACTACTAGTTATCCCTGCAGAGCTTTTTCTCGACAACTAGGTATCTTCCTATCTCACCTTGGTGTCCCCCTAGCACTGGATGGCCAATAAATATAAAATGAAGGCTTCAATTCAACTGCAGTGAAGCCAAGCCTGGGCATGTTATCAGGGACTAGCAGTGAGCTACAGGATGTTTTCATTGTTCTGGAGGTACAAAAAAATTTCCCTTAGCGTGCCCTGATGAAGTAATAGACATTTTATTTTTTTAAGAATTATTTTAACTTTATTATTATTTTTCAATATGACCAGAGATAGAGGGAAGGAAAGTGAGAAAGGAAACCACCAGGTCCAGGACTTGAATCGTGGTTGGCCATGTGGGAGTCCAGCGCCTTTAATCACAATGCCACCTGCCGACCCCTTTATCTTACCTGTACATTTTGCCAGTGAGAAAACTTTGAGTGGTGCAACTGTCAATATGTGTATCAAGAGCACAAAAACATCTACCCACTTCTCCACACGCTCCCTAAAAATGGAAACTAGGAGTTAACTTATGCACTTTTACTCTTCCTCACTCCCTAAAAATGAACACCTTGGTAAAAACAGAATAGTCACCGGACAAACAAAACAGTACAATTAGGTCGGCCCTAGTGCAGTGGATAAGCCTGCTGCAGAGGCCACTGGATCTCGCAACAGACTGTGATTAAAGTTCTGGTCCTGGTGGTACCATGCACACATGTGCCCCTCAGAAATCATACTGACGGGATAGAGGGTTGGAGGGCTGTGGCCGGGCCAGGCCCTGACGGGATGGAGGATTGGAGGCCTGAGGCCTGGCCAGGCCCCTCTCCCTAGCACACACTCTATCATGAATAAAGGGGGAACAATGCATAGCTGGCCCTGCACCCGCCATCTCTCAGCATGACACAGCATCTTCGTATTTCCAAAGCACGGTACCAACATTTATTAATCCTCACAACACCCCTGTGAGGTAGGTCAATGTGTCCTTCAGAGTAGAGAACGGAGGCAGAAGTTAAGGGAACCTGCCCAAACCTGCTTGAGCCCACAAGAGCCACTGGTGTAGGGGTGATTCCAGAAGCCTGGGCTCTTGGTCCTGCCTTAACCTGTTGGTGGACACTGCATGGGCGTGTTTTCAAATGAAAGTTACATGAAGGACAGCACACAGATCTGTCACCAACAGAGAATGTAACAGCTGACACAGTCCCGGAGAACATGTCTACAGAGATGGAATGGTCAGTATGTAAGTGACAAGAGAACATGCTGCTGAGAAAGGCTGGAATCACAACGGTCAGTGAAACTGAGCTCAGACATTCTTCAGAACGGGCTGGGAAATGTAAAGTAGGAACCCACCCAAGAGGTGAGCAGCCCAAAGACAAGACAGTGGAGAACTCATCCCGTTTAGCGAGGAATGACAGTAATGTCTGCACATTAGAAAGGCCAGTATTTGTAAGCTACAAGCAATTAGTATCATGTCTCTACACCAACTTTTATCCCAAATACTCTGCCTTTTTCCACAGGCCAGTGCTGTTCCTTTTAGCAGACACGTCCCTCTACATGCCAATCTACACACTGGCATGACACCTGGAAAATGGCTCAACGGCACACGTCTCGGTGAATTTGCTGAGCTAGGGACGGAATCCAGGAAACCCTACCAGACTGCTCTGCTCCTGTATTTCAGAAACAACTTACTCTGTGTCCTCCCAATTCCACCTTCTATGAAGCAGACAAGGAAGAGCAGGTCATTCTGTTGTAAAGGTATTGGTAAACTTGGTTCAATATGACATTTTACAAGAAATAAAAACGAAAAATCAAGACCTGCACTAGAAAGCATAATACAGGAGTAGGTTTATTATAGCTACTCCAAATTTTAGAGTGATAAAATGATCAGTTAAAAACTATCAGTTATCGCTGTTTATTTTACAATAATTGGTTTAGTCTATAAGTTTAAGGCAAACATACCGATGCATTTGCTTTTCTTCAGAAATCAAACTTGTAAAGATTACATAAAGTCTGTCCCAAAACTTCTAAGAAATATCCATTAATTAAAAATAAGTCTGATTAAGATGCTTAACACCAGGATACATGGATGAACTAAGGTGGTATACAATGCTTTTAAAAAAAAATTCAAAAAAAAAAATTCAAGAAAGGCAATCTTTATCTTGTTTGAACATGTATTTTAAAAGGGTTAAACTTCAGAAATTACTTGAAGGTAAATAAAATTGGCAGCCACAAGAAATACTATTTATATAAAATAAACACAGTTATAGAGGCTACTTGAAAAAGACCAAACTCTGGACTTCCGAGTAAGATGAGCACATGACGACAGACAACCGTCCTGGAAAACGGTGCAGCGTCACACCACAGCCTGCGTCACCTGTGCACGGACGGCTGCTCCAGTTTCCCAGAGAAAGAGTAGTTGCACTTTTCAGCGGTTTGTTTCCAGTGAGCATAGATGCCTAACATCATTAAGAAGACAAAAATAAAATCTGAAGGAAGGCAGCCCTTTTTAACAGGAAGGTGGAGTGTGGCTTATGTGTCCCCATTTAACACCGCCAGGCAGTTCTGCAGCAATTGCAGGTTACCCTAAAAAGGAAGGAAAAATAAATTACGCCTTTTTATTTTTTTTCATCAAAAAAAGCTTACAAGAGTCTTACTGAAAATATACAGTATTGGGACCAGCAGGTGGCGTGGTGGTTAAGGCGGTGGACACTCCCACATGGCTGACCAGGGTTCAAGTCCTGAATCTGGTGGCTAGCTTCTTCACTTTCTCTCTCTCTCTCACTTTCACCCTCTGTCTCTCTTTGGTCAAATTTAAAAAAATAACAATAAAATGAATGAATAAATAAAATAAATAATTATTTAAAAAATTAAAAGAATAAAATAACATACTGTTAAAAGAAAATATACAGTACTAGAACTCATGAATCGGGGCTAGTGGGTGGCGTGGTAGCTAGGGGCACTGGACTCCCACATGGCCAACTGTGGTTCGAGTCCTAGACCTGGTGGCTTGCTTTCTCTCTCTCGCTGTTCCTTTCTGCTCAAATTAAACAAAACAAATAAACAAACAAACAAATAAATAAAGTTAAATAAAGTAATTTTTTTTTTTTTTTAAAAAGAAAAAATATATCAGGGCTGGCCGGTGGCATGGTGGTTAGGGCTGCTGGACTCCCACATAGCCAACCATGGTTTGAGTCTGTACCTGGCGGCTTGCTTTCTCACTTTTTCTCTCTCTCTGACCAAATTAAAATAAAGAAATAAAGTTAAATAAAATAATTCTTAAAAAAGAAAATCATATAGGGCCACCAGATAGCATAGTGGTTAGATTGCTGGACTCCCACATGGCTGACCATGGTTCGAGTCCTGGAGCTGGTGGCTTGAAAATCACACTGGGCGTGTGTGCGTGCATCCCAAGATCCCAGGAGGAGAATGAAGATGGGACTGTGAAATGTGGCCATCTCCCTTAGGGGGTGCTTCCTCACTTTCCCTCTCACTGTCTCTGTCTCTCTCTGGTGAGCGCATATGCCTTATGGCAGAAAACAAAAATCAATCCATCAATCACATAACTTTAAGATCAAAACACAGCCAGTACTGTGGTGGTTAAAGTGGCTAGATCCCACACGGCCAACTTTGAGGTTCAAGTCCTGGCCTTGGCAGCTTGAAAAACACACCAGGCATGTGTGCATACATGCCAAAAATCCCCAAGAGGAGAACAGAGAAGAGACTGAAATGTGACCATCTCCCTGGGGGTGACTTCTCACCTTCCCTCTTTCTCTCTCTCTTGTGGGTGAGTATACTCACCATACAGTAAAAACTAAAAAGTAAATAAGTAAAAACTTTGGAAAGAGGCTCAGCTTGATGGATCAGTAAGTAGTGAATGGAACTGCAGTGCTGGAGGCCACACGGCCAGACATGGAGTGGATGCCTGGCTTGGAAACATGCAAGGTGCATGTGCACACACCCAAGATCCGGGCAAACTGGAGGACCAGAAAAGAGAGATCATGGGCTAGCAGATGGTGTAGTAGTTACGGCACTGGGTCACTCATAGCCAGCTTCACAGTTCAAGTCCCAGATCTGCGAGCATGTCCAAATTCCTGCTAGGAGACTGGAAAAGTGACTGAAGCATGGCCATTCCCATTGGGCGGTGATTTCTCACTTTCCCTCTCTCTGTGTCACTCCCCAACAAGTGCACGTGTTCTATGGCCAAAACAAGAGTGAGGATCACAGCATGACAAGACCCTGTTGAGGGTGTATCTCTCTCTTAGTGTGCATGCTCTCTGTCATGAATAAAAGAACTATAAAAAAATGAAACAAACATACAAGGGAAGTTCATATAAACTACAAATGTCCATCACCTGAGAGTAATAAGTAATGTGAAAACCAACTATTACATAATTGAATCCAAGATTCAAAGAGATTTTGATAAGCTCAGCAAAAACCAGCAAGTTAAAATTTAACAGAGATTAATGTAAAGTTTGCCATTAATAAATTAAGAGAACAGAAAAAAATTCTGATTTATTACACAACAATGTAAATACATTTACTACTATTGAACTGTAACACAATGATTAAGATGACAAACAATGACAAATCTTATTTTATTTTTTAAAAGAATGATTTAACTTGGACCTGGACCTGGCAACTTGCTTGCTTACCCCTGACCCCACTCTGTCCCTCTCTGGTCAAATTAAAATAAATAAATAAAGTTAAATAAAATATATATATTTTTGGAGAGGCTTTTGCTATAGGGCATGTGTGCTCGCCAGAAAGAGAGAGAGACAGAGCAACAGAAAGCGAGAAATCACCCCCCAGAGGGGATGGCCACGCCACAATCCCTTCTCCTCCATTCTCCTCTCAGGATCCTGGGCACGCACACACACCCGCTCAGTTTGAGTTTAAGCCACCAGGTCCGGGACTCAAACCACAGTTGGTGGGAGTCCAGCGACATAGCCATTAGGCCAACTGTCAGTCCCAAATAAAAGAGTTCTTTAAAAAAAAATTTCTTTATTTAAATTTTATGTCTTTATTTATTTAAATTTAACGAGAGAGGGACAGAGTGAGACAGAGAGAGTCTAGGACTCAAACAGTGGTTGGCGATGTATGAGTCCAGCACCCCTAACCACCACACCACCGCTGGCCCTTATTTATTTATTTAATTCCATTTGTTATTCTTATTTCTTTAATTTGACCAGAGAGAGAGAAAGGGAAGGTGAGAAAGTAAATCACCAGGTATGGGACTTGAACTGCAGTTGGCCATGTGGGAATCTAGCTAGCGCCTTTAACCACCGCACCACCTGCAGGCCCCAATTAATTTAATTTTATTATTTATTATTTAATTTGCTATAGGACATACAAGCTCCTGAGAGTGAGAGAAAGAGAGAGATAGCAAACCACCAGGTCTCGGACTTGAACAGTGGTTGGCAATGTGGGAGTCCAGTGCTTTAACCACTATGCCACCTGCTGGCCCCAACAAATTTTATTTATTTATTTTTTTGAGAGAGATTTTTGCTATAGGGTGTGTGTGCTCCCCAGAGAGATAGACAGAAAGTGAGGAATCAACCCCTAGTGGGAATGGGACGCTACAATCCCTTCTCATGCATTCTCCTCTTGGGATTTTGGGCACACATGCACACGCACCCAGCATAAATTTTAAGCCACCAGGCCCAGGACTTGAACTGTAGTAGACTACACGGGAGCCCAGTGACATGACCATTATACCATCAGCTGGTCCCGACAAATTTTTATTTTTTTACCTCAACTAGTACAAAAACATTACTTAAAAAAAAAAGAAACATACAACTAACTGACATATAAAGGGGGGGAAATATGTGAGTATAAGCCAAATCAAGCCAGTACAGTATGTTAGTTAAAAAATCTTTCGTACAGGGACCAGCGGGTGGCGTGGTGGTTAAGGCGCTGGACACTCCCACATGTCCAACTGGGGTTCAAGTCCTGAACCTGGTGGCTTGCTTTCTCACTTCCTCTCTTTCTCACTCTCACCCTCTGTCTCTCTCTGGTCAAATTTAAAAAATCAATGAATGAATAAATAAAAAATTAAATAATTATTAAAAAAAAATATCTATCGTACACCACAGCAAAATTCTCTCTCCAAAAAAAAAAAATCATAGCCAGCAGATGGCGTGGTTGGTAAGACTCCTACATGGCCACCTTGTTCAAGTCCTGAACCTGGCAGCTTGCTTTCTCTTGCTTTCTCACTTTCCCTCTCTTTGTCTCTCTGGTGAGTGTATTTATACTATAACAAACTAAAAACAATAATAATAATAATAAATAAAATTACATACTTTTTAAAAAGAGGGTTTTTTTTTTTTTCCTTCCCCATAGGATATGTGCGTTTGCCAAGGAGAGAGAGACAGGAACAGTGAGCGGGATAGTGAGAAATCACTCCTCAAGGGGGATGGCTACACTGCAATCCGTCCTCCAATTTCCTCCTGGGAGCTTGGACACATACACAACATATGCCCGGTATGATTTTCAAGCCACTGGGTTTAGGACTTGAACTGTGATTGGTTATATGGGAGTTCAGTGACATAAGTATTATGCCATCCGCTGGTGTCTAAAATAATTTATTAAAAAAAAAGTTATCATAGGGCCAGTAGGTGGCATGGTGGTTAAAGTGCTATAAGGCACTAGAGATCCCATGTGGCCGAATCCATGGCTTGAGTCCTGGACACAGGGACATGTGCATGTGTGCCCATTATTTCAAGAGGGATTGTGGCGTGGCCATCCTCCCTGTGGAGTGAATTTTCTCTCTCTCTCTTTCTCTGGAGAGCACACTTGCTCTCTGGCAAAAAACTAAAAAACAAAACAAAGCAAAGCAAAACAATCTTACACATCTAAAACATGCTATATAACAAGAAGTGTGTACAATAATAAGTCCAAAATATCTTTGCATTTCCAGGTGCAACTTATTTTTTTCAGTGTGCTGTAGGGCATGTGTGCTTGCTGGAGATGGTGGTGGGGAAGAGTGTGGAAAAAGTGAGAAATATCCCCCAATAACGGATGGTCACACTGTGATCTCCTCTCCTTCATTATTCCCTTGGGATTTGGGGGTGTACACACACACACACACACACACACACATGCCTCATGTGTTTTTTTACCCATGAACTGCTTACTTGGTTGGTCACATGAGATCCAGTTCCTTAACCACCAAGCAATTTGCTGGCCCAAAGAGATTATTCTTACTTGAATTAAATTATTTTTAAAATTCCTCTCAATTCTGGGGCCAGTAGGTGGTGCGGTGGTTAAGGGCTGGACTCCACATGGCTGACTGCGGTTCGAGTCCCAGACCTAGTGGATTGAAACAGATTGGGCGCACATGCGTGCATACTCTAAACCTCAGGAGAATGGAAGAGAAGGGATTGCAGTGTGGCCATTCCTCTTTGTGAGTGACTTCTCACTTCTCCTCTTACTGTCTCTGTTTATCTCTCCTGCAAGGGAACATGCCCTATGGCAATAACCTTAAAAAAATAAATAAATAAAAAAAAAGAACTCTCAATTCTAAGATTCTCTATTGTCAACATTACTGTAAGATTTGGGCTAAGCGTTATCTTCATATTAATTACAAGAAAAGGGTTTAATTTGTTACAAGAAAAGGGTTTAATTTGAAGTAAATGAACACTGTAAAGAAGACTTGAAAGGGACCAGTAGGTGACCTGATACTTAAGGTGGCCCATGTGATCAACCTCAAGGTTCGAGTCCCACACCTGGTGGCTTAAAAACTCACTGGACACATGTGCATGTCTGCTCAAATCTCAAGAAAATGGAAGAGGAGGGATCGTGGCATGGCCATTCCCCCTGAGGAGTGCTTTCTCACTTTCCCTCTCTGTCTATCTCTGGTGAGCACATGCAACCTGTAGCAAAAATTAAAAAAACAAAACAAAAACAAACAAAAAAACAGATAAAAGGGAGGATATTTATTTACTCATACCAACTACAATATTTCAAAGGAATAAAATAATCTTATGAAACAATTCCAATTCAGGAATAGTTCCTACAGTATCCCTATAGATAGTAATTGCTATTAAAGGATTTTTATCCATTTTATAACCAATTCACTTCTAAATTATACACTGAAATTATTAAATCTTTAATATGACACTACCTTTGCATGCTTCAGTTCTAACTCTGCCAGTTCCACTAAATTTTTTCTGAACGCAGCAACTCTTCTTGTCTTAAAATCTATAAGCTCTGTGAAAAGAAGATATTAACTATTTAATTTACAGAGTAGTCATAAGGTGTATCTTGTGATTAATGTAACTGGCACCCTTTGGGCATGGCGGAGGGAGAGATAAACTAAGATTTCATTTTCAAGATGGAAAGTCCTTCAGACCCATCTGTGATTTTACCTAGCACTCCACCGGCCTATGTGGATCCACCCTCACCCCCAAATAATTCATGAAAACAACCTATGAGTGCCACACCAAGAGAAAATTTAAGCATCTTAAAATAGAGAATGAAGAAAGTGGTCAGACCTTTTCAGACAAACCAGCATCCTCAATGGAAGAAAACTGTTCAGAATTTCAAGAAAGTTTTAAACACAAAGACAGTGAATTTGAAGAAAATGCACATTCGAAAAGTGCTTTCAAGAATATCAGTGCATTTGAATCAAAATCACTTAATACAGATGCTCTCCAAAATAATTTTTTGAAGGAGAGTTATCCTAAACAAGCATTAGATGAAGAAAAAGCAAAATTGGTGGAGCAGATTCAGGAGAAAGAAGATCTTCTTCAGAGGCTAAAACTAGTCAAAATGTATAGATCAAAGAATGACCTGTCTCAATTATAGTTGTTAAAGAAGTGGAGAAGCTGTAGGCAGCTGTTGCTTTATGAGTTATAGTCAGCTATGTCTGAAGAGAATAAGAAACTAAGCTTCACTCAACTGATAGGCCATTATGGGTTAGATGGTAAATTGCTACACTGTAACAAAATTGAAGAAGAATTTGTAACTGTTTAATTCATAAGTTTTCCTCCAGAATATCTTTGAGAATGACAATTTAATTAACATATTTTAGAGGGAAGATAACCATTAGGGCTTAAAGGAAGGTAAACTGATGGACATGATTTTAGGGCACACACAAACTCAGTTCTAAATGGAAACAATATTTTGGATAGATTTGCCAAAAAAAAAACTTGACATTTAAAGAAATGTAACAAAAATTCTGTTTAAAAAGTAATTCGGACAATTCTGGAAACCAGTTTTAATATAGTGCTTTGTTTTTCATGACAAAAAGTTTTATTTTAAATGTTAAGAAATTGTGCAACCTGGTGAATGTCTAAACCTAAACTGGTCTAAAAATATGCTTGCCTCTCTAAGTTTATGAACCGTGTTTCCATTCACTTGCCACATGTTTCCATCTGATGTCTAGCAGGTAATTAAACTGTTAATGTCTGAAGTTAAAAAAAAAAAAGGTTAATGTAACAGTACCTTGTTTTGCAGACTCAGATATTTTTTCAAATTTCTGACAGCATAACTGTTGAGATGTTTCAGCCTGTAGAACATCTTTGTTTTTTGCTCTTGCTTTATCCAGGGCTTTATTAGCATTTTCGTAATCCACTAGTGACCTAGATCTTCGATAGAGGAGATCCTATAAAACAGAATGCTTCACAATAACCTATGTTTTTTATTTCCAGTAGTTATACTCAACCATCACCAACAGCACTACCATCAGAGCTAACACTTAAACTACAACTGACTACTAGAAACCAATTACTCTTCTCAAGTTTTTCATTTTGTTTTGCTAGAGGACACGTGTGCCTGCCAGAGACAGAGACAGACAAAGAGGGAGAGGAGAAGCACCCAATAAGAGAAGTGCTCGTAGCATAATCTCCTCTCCCCCGTGAACAAGCATGCAGCTGAAATCTGGGGGGAAGGCCATGTGGGATCCAGCTGCTTTAACTTCCACATGGGGCCAGCCCTACTATTTTTCCCCTTAAATTTGTTATAGGGCACATGCACTCATCAGAGGGAGATAGACAGAAGGAACAAGAGAAAGTACCCCCCGGGGGGATGGCCAGACTACAATTTCCTCTCCTCCATGCTCCTCTCAGGATTTGGGGTATGCAGGTACACACATCTGGCACATTTTTCAAGCCACCAGGTCTAGGACACAAACCACACAGTTGACCCTGTGGGATTCAGCCACCAGCTGGTCCCACCTAAACTTTATTTTAAGTTTATTTTATGTATTTATGTATTTATGTATTTATTTATTATTTTAAAATTTGCTATAGGACACGCATGCTCACCAGAGAGAGAGAATGCGAACGCAAGTTGCCAGGTCCAGGACTTGAACCGCAACCAGCCATATGGGAGGCCAACACCTTAACCACCATGCCACATGCTGGTTCCCAAAACTTTTTTTTTTTTTTTTTTTTTTAGTAACAGCTTGAGACATAATTCACATACCATATAGCTCACTCACTTAAAACATACCATTACAAAGTTTTTATAGGAAAGAAAAAGAAAAGTCATGATGCACTTTTTTTTTTTTTTTTGAGAGGTTTTTGCTATAGGGCATGTGTGCTCACCAGACAGAGAGAGAGACATAGAGACAGAAAGCGAGAAATCACCCCCCAGGGGGGATGGTCACGCCACAATCCCTTCTCCTCCATTCTCCTCTCGGGATCCTGGGCACGCACACACACGCGCCTGGCCTGAGTTTTAAGCCACCAGGTCTGTGACGCGAACCACAGTCGACTACGTGGGAGTCCAGTGACATAGCCATTACGCTAACTGCTGGTTCCCATGATGCACTTTTCTATGCAAAAATGTATCGTGACTTTTCCAACAACTATTCCAAAATAATTTTTTTCATAAACGTTCTTTATTTTGACCACAGAGGGACGGAGTGAGAGAGGGAGGGAAAATGAGAAAGCAAGCTGCCAAGTCTGAGGCTTGAACCGCAGTTGGCCATGTGGGAATCCAGTGCCCTTAACCACCATGCCATCTGCTGGCTCCTACATCATGACTTTTGTGATGACCCAATAGTATACTCAGAATTGTATAGCCATGATCACAATCAATTTTAGAATATTTTTACTGTCGGGACCAGCTGATGGTGTAATGGTTATGTCACTGGACTCCCATGTAATTGACAGTGGTTCGAGTCCCAGACTTAGGGGCTTAAACTCATGCTGGGTGCATGTGCATGCGTGCCCAAGATCCTGAGAGGAGAATGGAGGAGAAAGGATTGCAGCATGGCCATCCCCACTGGGGAGTGATTTCTTACTTTCTGTCTCTCTGGCGAGCATACACACCCTATAGCAAAAACCTCTCCAAAAATAAAAAAATAATAATTAATTTTTTTAAAAAATAGAGTATTTTTATTGTTCAAAATGAAAGTCCAAACCCAACAGCAGCTACTCTCCAATTTTCCCTATGTCCTCCAGGCCTACACAACCATCAGTCTGCTTCTGTCTCTATAAATCTAACTGAACATTTCATAACAATAAGATCATACAATATATACAGCTTGTTGGGTATGACTTCTATCACTTACTGTAATGTTTTAAGTTCATCTTCACTGTACCATGAATAACTTACTTCATTCTTTTTCTATTCTAAATAATATTTCACTGTATGGACATATCACATTTATATAGTCATCAGTTAAACGGCATTTGGCTTACTTCTGGCTAAAATGAATAATGCTGGTATGAACACTTGTACAATGCTTGTCTGAATATGTTTTTCTTTTTCATTACTTCTCACAGAAGAGTGGAAATGCTCAGTCATATGAACTCTATGTCAAAAGCTTTTGAGAACTACCAAACTGTTCCAAAATGGCTGTTCCAAAATGGCTGTAACATTTTACATTCCTACCCAACCAGGAAGGTTCCAATCTTTTCACATCCTTGTAAACACTTGTTATCTAGAGGAGGGGTCCCCACCCCTGGGCCACAGACCACTACTGAACCACGGCCTGAGGAACTGGGCCACATAGCGGCCAGTGAGCAGCAGGTGAGCGAGCAAAGCACCCGTATTGACAGCCACTCCCCACTGGTCCTCACCGCCTGAGCTCCTGCTGTCAGATCAGCGGCAGCACAGACTCCCACAGGAGCGCAAACTGTGCTGTTAACTGCACATACGAGGGATCCAGGCTGCACACCCCTTATGGTAAGTTGTATAATTACTTCATTAAATATTACAATGTAATAGTAATAAAATGCACAATAAACATAACATGCTTATCATCTTGAAACTATCTTGCTCCTCCATCAGTGGAAAAACTGTCTTCCATGAAACTGGTTACTGGTGCCAAAGAGGTTGGGAGCCACTGATCTAGTGAGTGATCTCTCTCCATTTCAATTTGCATTTATAGATAGCTAATGATACTGAGCATTTAATCACATGTTTTTGGCCAGCTGTATATCACCTCTGGAGAAATGTTCATTTAAATTCTTTGTCCTTTATTTTTATTTTTTTTTTGGAGAGGTTTTTCGCTATAGGGCGCGTGCGCTCGCCAGACAGACAGAGAGAGACATAGAGACAGAAAGCGAGAAATCATCCCCCAGGGGGGATGGTCACGCCGCAATCCCTTCTCCTCTTCTCAGGATTCTGGGCACACACGCACACGCGCCCAGCGTGAGTTTTAAGCCACTGGGTCCGGGACACGAACTGCGGTCGACTACATGGGAGTCCAGCGACATAGCCATTATGCTAACTGCTGGTTCCCTGTCCTTTATTTTTGTAATATGTAAATTTTGCACATGCCCACCTCAGAGACTAGGAGTTGGAGGAGGGAGTGGGAAAGCAAGCATCCCTGGGGGGACGACCATACCACACACCCACTCCTCTGTTTCCTCTTGGGGTTTAGGCACACATGCCCAGAACATTTTTCAAGCCACAGGGTCTAGGACTAGAAGCACATAGCTGACCATGTGAGCCCAGGCACTTTAGTACAATACCACTGACTGGCCCCAAGTTCTTTGCTCATTTTTAATTGGGCTATTTTTCTTTTCAGTAAGTTGTTAAAAGTTCTTTTTTTTGTTTTTAAATTTGCCAGAGGGCATTTCAGAGAGAGAGGGAAAGCACCTACCAGTGGGGCATGGAAATGCCATAATCCCTTCTCTTCCATTTCTCCATCCTGTCAGGATTTTGAGTATGCATGCAACGTTTTAAAAATTATTATTATTGGGAACCGGCAGTTAGTGTAATGGCTATGTCACTGGACTCCCATGTAGTCGACCGCGGTTCGCATCCCGGACCCGGTGGCTTAAAACTCACGCCGGGCACGGCACGTGCGCGTGTGTGCCCAAGATCCCAGGAAGAGAATGGAGGAGAAGGGATTGCGGCGTGACCATCCCCCTTGAGGGGTGATTTCTCGCTTTCTGTCTCTATGTCTCTGACTGTCTGGCAAACACACGTGCCCTATAGCGAAAACCTCTCCAAAAAAAAAAAAATTATTATTAATTTTTTTTAGAGAAATTTTTGCTAAAGGATGCATGTACTCGCTGGAAAGACAGACAGAAAGAGAGAAATCACTCCCTGAAGCAATGGTCATGCCACAATCCCTTCTACTCCATTTTCTGCTCGGGATTTTGGGTACACATGCACACGTGCCCGGCGTGAATTTTAACCTTGCCAGATCTGGGACTCGAACCGTGGTCAACTATGTGGGAGTCCAGCAATGTAACCATATGCCATCTGCTGGTCCCAGCTGACCTAGTTTTCTGGTATTTCTTTTCTTTGGACAGGTTTTTGTTACAGGGTGTGTTGTGCACTTGCCAGAAAGACAGAGAGAGACAGAGAGACAGAAAGCAAGAAATCACCACCCGGGGGAATGGCCACGCTGCAATCCCTTCTCCTCCATTCTCCTCTTGGGATCTTGGGCGCACATGCACATGTGGGTCCAGGGCTCGAATCGCAGTCGACTACATGGGAGTCTAGTGACATAGCCATTATACCAACTGCTGGTCTCCTGATATTTCTTATTCCATCTTTTCACTTTTTTCAATAGTGTCCTCTGACATACAAAATTTAATTTGAATGAAGTTCATTAGTTTTTTTTCCATAAAACTTTTCAATAGTGTCCTCTGACATACAAAATTTAATTTGAATGAAGTTCATTAGTTTTTTTTTCTTCAGCTGCTGTGCTTAAATCACTGTTTAATCCAAAGTCATTAAGATTTATGTCTGTGTTTTCTTGAAAAGTTTTATGGTCCCAGGTCTGGGAGTCAAAGTGCACAGTTGACCATACAAGATCCAGCCATCTTAATCACTATGCTATGGCTGGCCCACTTCCTTAACTTGATAAAGGACATCTTTAAAAACCTAGTTATTGGGGCAGATAGCATGATGGTTAAGGTTATTGGACTCCCACATGGCTGACAATTCATGTCCTGGAACTGGCGGCTTGCTTTCTCACTTTCCCTCTTTGCTTCCCTCTGTCTTTGGTGAGCACACATGCCCTAAAGCAAATTAAAAAAAAAAAAAAGAAACAAAACTCCAAAACAATAATAAATAAAATTGAATAAATAATTTTTAAAAAGAAAAAGAAAATCATACTAGGTGCATGTGCATTCGTGCGTGCGTGTGCCAAATCCCAAGAGAAAATGGAGAAGGGATTATGGTGTGGAATTCCCCGCTGGGGGATGATTTCTCACTTTCTATCTCTCTGGCGAGCATGCACACCCTATGGCAAAACCTTAAAGAAACCTAGTTATCAACATCATACTTTTTAAAAATAATTATTTTTAAATTTAATTTTATTAATTCATTTATTTATTTAAATTTGACCTGAAACACACACACACACACACACACACACAAAGTGAGAAAGCAAGACCCCAGGTCTGGGACTCAAACTGTAGACAGTCATGTGGGCGTGTCCAGTGCCTTAACCACCATGCTACCTGCTGGTCCCCAACATCATACTTTTATTTATTTATTCCATGAGTAAGAGAGACAGAAAAACAGACACAGTACCCCCAACAAGGCTTCACTGCTACAAGCCACCCTCAGCATTCCGCTAATCCTCAATCAGGGCATGTACCTCATGTACTAAGGAAGGTCTCCAGGCTTGAACTGGAATCCATGTAGGATTGCCTTCGAGAGCATCATGTTTAATTGCTATGCTACTGTCTGGCCTCAACATTTTCCTTAATAGGAGAAACTTAAAGCTTTCCACTAAGATCAGTAACAAGGCAAAGATGTCCCCTCTAATCACTTGTTTTCAACACTGTACTAGAAATTCTACCTAGTGTAGGAAGACAAGAAAAGGAAATAAGAGGTATACAACTGGGAAGGAAAAAAATAATACTTCATTCACAGATTGACATGACCATCTACCTATATAGAAAATCTGAAATTCGGAACTAGCAGTTGGCATAATTGCTATGTCGCTGAACTCCTATGTAGTCAACAGCAGTTCAAGTCCCGGGCCTGGTGGCTTAAATTCATGCTGGGTGCATATGCATGCATGCCCAAGATCCATGCCCAAGATTCCGAGAGGAGAATGGAGGAGAAGGCATTACGGTATGGCTATCCCCCCTGGGGGGTGACTTCTCGCTTTCTCTCTGTCTGTCTGTCTCTGTCTTTCTGGCGAGCACATGTGCCCTATAGCAAAAACAAAACAAAACAAAAAAATCTAAAACTACTACGTGATGACAAGGTTGCAGTGAAGTAAGTGAAATGTGAAATTAAAAACATAATACCAGTACTAGTAGGTGGTATGAAGGTTAAAAAGTCTGGATATCACACGGCCAACTGTGTTTTGAGTCCCAGACCTAGTGGTTTGAAAAACACACTGGGTGCATGTATGTGCAGGCCCAAAATCCCAAGAGGAGAATGAAGAAGGAACTATGGCATGGCCAACCCTCTAAAGGGTAATCTCTTACTTTTTCTCTCTCTCACTGATGAGTGTGTGTGCCCTATTGCAAAAACTAAGCAAACAAAAAACTGTTTTTTTCTAGCTGTGGTGGAACAAGTGGGAGAACACCACTGCACAGTGGCTGAGGCTGTAGGGGAGACCCCGGTTCAGTTCTTGGTCTAACCTGAATAGATCTGGCACAATGACACATGTCTGTGATCCTAGCCAACTAGGAGGCTAGTAAAGTTCGGAATTGTGCCATGGTGAAACCCTGTCAAAAAATATCCCTCTCCCCCCGTCTTTCCTCCTCCCTCCTATCTTTTTTCTCTCATTAAAAAACAAACAACAGCAAAACACCAAAAACAAAATACCATTTAATTAGTACTCCCCAGAACTAAATTCTTAGGCATTAACCTAACAAATTATGTACCAAATCCTTATGATGAAAACTACAAATTTCTGAAGAAATCAAATTACTAAATAAATGGAGAGATATTCCATGTTCATGGATAAGAAGACAATATTGTCAAGATGTCAGTTCTTCCAACCTGAACTGCAGATTCAACTGTAATCCCAATCAAAATGCCATCAAGTTATTTTGTGGATATCAACAAACTGATTCTAAAGGCTTTACAAGAATTATTTACTAAATTGAGGGACCAGCAGTTAGCGTAATGGCTATGTCGCTAGACTCCCACGTAGTCGACCACGGTTCGAGTCCTGGACCCGGTGGCTTAAACTCATGCCGGGCACGTGTGCATGCGTGCCCAAGATCCCGAGAGGAGAATGGAGGAAAAGGGACTGTGGCGTGGCCATCCCCCCTGGGGGGTGATTTCTCACTTTCTATCTCTCTGTCTCTGTCTGTCTGGTGAGTGCACGCGCCCTATAGCAAAAACCTCTCCAAAAAAAAAAGAATTATTTATTAAATCAAATGAATTAATTAATTAAAATTTGACCAGAGAGAGAGAAGGAAAGTGAGAAATCAAACTGTCAGGTTCAGGACTCAAACTGCAGTCAGCCATGCAGGAGTCCAGTGCTGGCCCAATTTTAAAATTTAAATAGGAAATCAAAAGACCCAGAATAGGCAGCACAATATGGAAAGGAGAAGAATGAAGCTGGAGGGTTGGCATTGCCTGACTTCAAGATTTACTATAAAACAATAATCAAAACACTCTGGTATGGTGAAAGACTAGATATAGAACAATGGAACAGAATAGAAAGCCCAGAAATAGACCCACACCAATGCAGTCAATTGGTTTTTGTCAAAAGTCAAAAGGCAATACAATGGAACAAAGATTGTCTTTCTAACAAATGGTGTTTAAAAAAAACTAGAAATCCACATGCAAAAAAAAAAAAAAAGGAATCCATACACAGAGCATATACCCTTCACAAAAATTAACTCATAATGGATCATAAACGTAAATGTAAAAGGCAATACTATAAAAAAATAAAAACCAAAAAACAACAGAGGATAACATTAAGAAAAAAATCTAGATAACCTTGGATTTGGTGATGACTTTAAAAAAAGAATTATTTAACTTTATTTATTCATCCATTTATTTTAATTTGACTTGGGGGGGGGCGCAGGAGTGAGAAAGCAAGCCACCAGGTCCATGACTCAAACCACAGTCGGCTATGTGGGAGTGTCCAGTGCCTTAACGATAATGCAACCTGCTGGTCCCATGGTGATGACATTTTAGATATAATACTAAACCCACAATCTATGAAAGAAATACTTTACTTTTGTTTTTTATAGAAAGATTTTTTTCTTTTTTGAGAGATTTTTACTATAGGGCGCGTGCGCTCGCCAGACAGAGACATAGAGACAGAAAGAGAGAAATCACCCCCCAGGGGGGATGGTCACGCCGCAATCCCTTCTCCTCCATTCTCCTCTCGGGATTTTGGGCACACATGCACACATGCCTGGCGTGAGTTTTAAGCCACCGGGTCCGGGACGTGAACCGCAGTCGACTACGTGGGAGTCCAGCGACATAGCCATTATGCTAACTGCTGGTTCCCTTTTTTAAAGAGATTTTTGCTCTAGGTTGTGTGTACTGGCCAGAGAGACGGAGACAGAAAGCGAAAAAATACCCCCATGGGGGCTGGTCACACCACAATTCCTTCTCCATTCTTCTCTCGGGATCTTGGGCAAATAGGCACAGGTGCCCGGCATGAGTTTTTTTTTTTAATAATTATTTATTTTATTTATTCATTCATTTATTTTTTAGTTTAACCAGAGAGAGACAGAGGGTGAGAGTGAGAGAGAGAGGAAGTGAGAAAGCAAGCCACCAGATTCAGGACTTGAACCCTGGTTGGCCATGTGGGAGTGTCCAGTGCCTTAACCACCAACCCACTGCCGGTCCCCTGGCATGAGTTTTAAGTTGCCAGGTCCTGGACTTGAACTGCTGTGGGAGCCCAGCAACGTAACCATTATGTCATCTGCTGGTCCTGAAAGAAATACTTTATAAACTGGGCTTCATTAATATCAGAAAGGTGGGGCCAGTAGGTGGCATAGCGGTAAAGGTGCTGGCTTCCCACATAGTCACCTGTGGTTTGAATATTGGACACAGCAGCTTGAAAATCACATCGGATGTGGGTACATGTGTGCCCAAAATCCTGAGAGGAGGAGGAACTGTGGCATGGCTATCCCTCCAGGGGGTGATTTCTCACTTTCTCTTTCTTTGTCTATCTCTAGTGAATACACATGCTTGATAGCAAAAAACAAACAAACAAAAAACCCCAGAAATATCTGCTCTTCAAAGTCACTGTCAAGAGAATGAGAAGACAATCCAGAGACTGGGAAGAAAATGTTTGCATAATATGTATACATATCCTAAATATATATATATATATATATCTATATAAACTCTTAAAAAACAATAGGGGCCAGCAGGTAGCATGGTGGTTAAGGTGCTGGACTCCCATATGACTGATCACAGTTCAAGTACTGCACCTGGCAGCTTGAAAATCACACCAAGCAGGGACCAGCAGTTAGCATAATGGCTATGTCGCTGAACTCCCACGTAGTCGACTGTAGTTCGAGTCCCGGACGTGGTGGCTTTAACCCATACAGGGTGCATGTGCCCAAGATCCCAAGAGGAGAATGGAGAAGGGACTGTGGCATGGCCATCTCCCCTGGGGGGTGATTTCTCGCTTTCTGTCTCTCTGTCTCTCTCTGTCTCTCTGGCAAGTGCAC